GGGGCACCTCGGTGGAACATATCGCCACGTACCGTACAGGTGAGAAGTCATGTTTCATGTCCCACCACCGGTGCAGAGGACGAACTGTCAGCCCCAGACTCGCGTTATACGCTGGCTCCCCAACCGTGTCGAAAGTCTCCAGGAGCGCTCCCAGGGGGCCGCAAGGGCGGGACGGCTCGATCTCTTATGGGGGGACATGTAGGCCTGCTCAACCGTGGCATGTAGGCCTGCTCAACCGTGGGGAGGGTCGCCTTCTGTTGGTGCAGGGGGGAACCCATTCCACAGCAGGTCCGGGGAATCTGCCCTGCCGCAGGCTGGGACGCCACCCGAGGGTGGTTGCCCGGGGGGGGGGCCTGCTGCACCGCAAGCGAAGCGTATGGCCACCCCAGGGTTGCCACGAAAGGGCAGTGCACAGTCAGGACGAATGACCACCCTTAGGGTGCACTGGGCGGCTCGCCACACCGCCGCCGACGTCGCCGCTGGCCCTGCGACGGGTGGGATCTGCTTCGCCGCAGAGCCGGCCTCCGTCCCTGGGCACGCGGTGGGGGCCCACGGGGGCAGGCGCAGGCTTCGGCAGGCCACCGACGGCGGCCCGCAAAGGGGTCTCTGCACCCACCAGAGGCTGCTCCGTGCGAGGCGAGAAGTCCCCATCATCATCCTCCTCCTTCTCCTCCTCCCCCTCCTCCTCCTCTACCTCCTCCTCCTCGTCCTCCTTTTCCTCCTCCTCCTCCTCCGCCTCCTCCTCCTCCTCTTCCTGCCCCTACCATTGCCCCCCCCTCACCGCCCGCACCTCAGCAGGCCAGCAGCGGCGAAGCAGCGTGGCGACGCGGGGCAGTCGCCCGCACTTCCGCCCCGAGATTCGGCCTCGTGAGCAGGACGACGTTTGGGTGTGCCGGCCCAGCCTCCAGAACTCCTGAGATCGCGTGCGTACTCGAGCGACAGATGCTCGACGGGGTACGCCTGGCCCCCCAGTTCGCAACTCGGTGGTGCTGACATTGCGGTACGCCGGCGCCTGGTGGCCGCCGGCGTGTCGCAACGTCTGGGTCTTCACCTCGGCATCGGCCTCTGCGACGAATGGGCCTTCGACGTTGGCTGAGGCTTCTGCGTCGACTGTGCCTTCCTTCTCACCTCCCCCTTGTCGCGCGTCCTCCCTGCCCCACCTGCCGGGGGGGAGATGGAGCCACCGCATTTCGGCCACTTTCGTGGGGCAGAGGTGCCCAAGGTTTCCCGCCGCTGTGTGCGGAGGTGGCTGCCCGTTCTGACTGCGACGCTGACATCGTCAAGGTGCCGCTGGCCTCCTTCGGCGTGCAGTAGGTCAAGGACCTCATTGCTATGATGACCACCGCTCCGTCGTGCGGGGCGTTGGAGGACCTGCAGGCCCAGGAAGCCTCCTGCTCCGAGCTGGTTCTCGTTCGAGGACACCACCCTGGAGGTGACGAGGCAGCAGCGCTGCAGCAGAGGGCCCAGATTCTCGGGTGCCGCGGCATCTGGGAGAGGCGGCTCCTCCGTGGACTGCGGGAGGCGCCCACGGTGGTTGCGCGGCCCTGGTGCGGGCTGGGATCCAGGGGTCACTCCGACCCCAGGCGCGCGCAGGGCTGCGCGGTCGCGGGCCACGCGCGCTGGGGAGTTGCCGGGGACATCGTCTGCGTGTCGGCCTACCTCCGCCACTCCGTCGGGCTCGACGCGGCCAACCTGGCTATCCTGCGGGGTACTCTCCTCTCGACATGTCCTGCCAGGGCTACACGCGGATGGTAGGCGGCGGCTTCAGCGTGGAACCGCCCGTGTTTCTGCCGCGGCTCAATTGTATTGGCGGAGTCTTGGTGTCGGGCCAGGCCGCCGCGCGCAGGCAGACCTTGCCCGGCCATGAGTCTGTTTACTTTTGGGTGGAGGCTGGTTTGGTTTCGCGCACTGGTGACGCCGCGCTTGACGAGGCTGCCGACACCTGTCCGCGCCGCCCTGTTGCCTTGGTGGTCCTGGGCTCGCATGGCGCACCGCGGCGCCGCGTTCTCCTGGGGGCCCGGCGCCTTCGAGGCGACAGGCCCCCCTGGCTGCAGCCGCTGCCCGTGCGAGGGGGGGCCAATCCAGAGCCTCACTGATGTGGCCTCGTCCGACGCCGAGCTCTCGCAAGCGCGGGGCGACGTCGCGCAGCTGGAGCTGCGCGGCCGCTGCGACGCTGTGGGCAGCGCGGCGCAGACACAGATCGGTCGCGCAGGGCTGCGGCGGTGGCGCTGGGTGCGGTGCGCCTGGAAGCCTTCCAGGCAGAGGCCGCCCACCAGAGGCGCGGCCTCTGACGCGTGGGCCATTGCTGCCGGCTGGGTGCGCCACTCGCGCCGAGTGCGCACCTGCCTCGCGACCAGGGTCCTGGAGCTGTCCAGGCAGACGGGGCCCGATGGTCAGCGGTGCCCTGTGGCCCTGGAGAAGGTCGCGGTCTTGTTGCGCGACGCGAAGGCCTTATTCAATGTTTTGCGCAAGAAGGAGTTGGTGTTCCAGGTGGTCGATCCTGCAATTCGTCATGTCTTGTCCAGCGTATGCTCGTGCTGGCCGGCGACCTTTTTGATGGCGTGGGGGAGTGGGTGCTTGGCCATGTCGGTAGCAGGTGTCTTCAAGGAGCGCCACCAGAGCTGGAACGAATGGGTTGCGACTAGCTTCGTCAACGGCGCCAGCAAGGCTCATCGCTTCAGCAAGGCGCGGGCGCTGCAGGCTACTGCGTCCCTTCTGTCAGGCGAGCAGCCGTGCCATCTGGCCGACGATTGCCGGGATGACTGGGCCAAGGTGAGGAAGGTCCACGGCTGCGAGCGGCTGGAGCTCCCCCCTGGCGCCGACAGGTGGCCTCTGCTTCC